AATTTAACAATGCAAGAAGAAAAGCTCTGGTCAGAACCATTGAGAATCTCAATTTCATGCCACTGCTTCGGACGACTGCTGTCAAATATGTCATTTTTTGTCAGCCAATCAGAAGAAAGGATAAATTATGCCCATCACAGGGGTATATTTTCTAGCCAATCATATTGCTGTTTTACAAACACCAATTCGAAGCAGGTGGCATGGAAGAGAGATTCTCAATGGTCCCGAANGCAGCAAGAGATCCACAAGAATCCTCTAAACTCTCTCCCGAGGAACTGCAGTATGCAAAAGAGTAAGTCAAATCTTGCTTCCTACACAGGCAACTCTTTTTTCCTCCTTTGGGCTTCCCTTGTAATGGTAATCTTAGATGCTATTTTTTGGTGGGCCCTTAGCCACTATGGTCTAGAAAGAAAAACTGAAATGAGGAGAGTTCACATGCCTCTCATTCCCCCATTCTCCTTCTTCTGATTCCCCAAAAACACAGGAAGCCCATGATTCTTAGTGATGCCTGTGGAGGAGGCTAAGTCATATCTTTGAAGGGAGAATACCTTCTGGAACATGGTTTCCAGGATTTGATGTATAAGAGCTTAGAGGGTGAGATCAAAATCATTTTCAAATTGGACATGGGGAATTTGATAATGAATTCATCTTAAATACTGTTTGTTTGATTGAAGTGCAGTGTATATTGGTGCCAGACAGAGCTCCACCTTGCTGTCACCACGCACCACACTACACTTTTCTTTGTTGACGGTGAGGAAAAACTCTCTACTCACAGGGTAGTACCATACTCAATTACATTAACAGTGAATTCAGGCTAGACTATACTAACTATTGACTGTACTAAACAAATTACATAAATAATCATTATATTGAAATAAATGAAAGTTATAATGCTTAGAAGGAGGTTATTCCGGGAGAAAGACCCTTGAAAATAAATTCGTAAAAACTTTCTGACCTAATTACTGCAACCTAATATCTATTTCACCTGGGCATGCTCCCAATCAGTCCTTGTAGCTCAGCTGGTAGAGCATCAGTGTACAATCAGAGGGTCGTGTGTTTGAATCCCAGCAAGGTTGAAAATTAATTTTTCCAATTTTTTTCCCAAGGGTCTTTCTCCTGGAATATCCTTCTTCTAAGCATTATAACTCTCCTTTATTTCGAKATCATGTTAATCATAGTGTCATGTGGTCATCATATTCATTCATTACACAAGTGAATGTGAAGTTTTATTGAAAATGTTGGTGTTGGGTGTCATCAGGATACCTGTGTATTTTTCCAGTTAGGAAACCAAAATCATATTCCATCATTATGATTGTTCTCAAAGGTACACAGACAACATGGAAGGACTTTTCAAGTCATTGTGCTTGCAGCACATGCCACCAAATATGCAGAGCATAGACCGCAAGAAATCTGGTAAGACTTGCTGCACCTTTCTTCTTAATGTTGATACTTTTGGAGTTGTTGTTGTTGTTGTTTTTTGTTTGTTTTTGTCAAAATAACTGACCTTAGTGTCAACTATTTTGCTATTTTTATATTTATTTTGCAGTTCCTAGACCTAACCTTGACAGCTATGTCTTCCTTAAGATACTAGAAGACCAGGAACAAGTATTAGTTGATCCTGAGTGAGTAAACTAGATAATGGCATAAAGAAGGGACATGGAGGTTTAATCTGCAAGGGGAAAGTTGTCAAAGTGTGATTTGTTCACCATCACCAATGTGTTCAGTCGTTCAGCAATGGCTAATCTTCCATTGTTTTCTAGGGAGGATCCTGTRGACTTGGAAAAGGGTGCCCAACATATCATGAGATACAGTGCTATAGCACCTCTACTGACTAATGACAGTTTAGCACTTTTATAACCCACAATATATCATACATGTACCACAACATTGGCCACTTTGATTGGAAACAGCCTGGTATGGTAGTATGTTAGCATGTAGCTCTTGATATTAGCCAATCACATTTCTCATTGTCTCCAGTTCAAGAATCTTTTAGAATAGCTACTTATAGTTTCATTAAGAGCTGCAATAATATTATGTGATTAAATGACCATGCAAAATTATGGGATATCATTTATTTTTGAGTTGTCTGGTACAAGGWTATATAATATTGATTTTTAGTCAGACTAGCCGAAGGCTAGGTCGACTTGAGTTTTACCTTTTAGCCAATCTATCTATCTATGTGTCATGTCGYGTTTGGACCACCGGAAGTTAAGAATTTAATGATTAACTATTGRGTTGGCTRTGTTATTACATCACCGGAAGCTCAAATGTATAGATGTACGAATATCGTTAGTAAATGTTAAATGCTACTTGCGCTTTTATGTGATAAAAAACTATTCGTTTACAAATGTGGTATCTGTGATCTCATCGGAATGCATCTATCTAGGCATCAATAGTACGCGCATGTGCAGATCGCATGGAGCTTCGAGTTTTATGYCTAGGAATCTGAATAAATGACCTTTCTAGTGTTAGACAGTCTTGTGTGGGCAAAGATTTCAAATTAGAACAAGAAGAAACTTTGTTTATCAATAACTGCAATAACAGAAAGGCGAATTTAATGATTTTATAGTCATCTTTTTCCTTGTAAAGTATTTATTTTATCTTGGCCTGAGAGGTCAACGTATTAGATATCATGATATCACTTAGCMAAATTTTGTCTAGCAAGTTTGATTTTATCAGTCAAAGCAAGGACTCTTTTAAAACGTTCTTATCGCATTAATTACATGACCTTTTAGGTCAAGTTTATTTAAAGTCTCAATAAATTTCCATATTTTGAACTAGACGCTCTTATTAGACCGTGAGTTCGGCTATTTTGGAAAAAAAATTAAGAAATATTTTTATCCATCATGGATGATGTAATATCCTGTCTTTCTCAATTTTCAAAAGCAGCTAGTCCGACTTCACGCTCCAAGAGCGTATGAATGAAGCTAGACGCACAACTGCGTGACTTCGTGCTTTTTTTTTGCGGAAACTCGCTCACAATTCYACATCACTGCCTAGTATGCACTTGCTAAGTAAAGGTATCATGCCTAAAACAATTCAAACCTGCCTTTCTTTATACATCCTCGAAGGTAGGGGTTGTTTACATGATATAAGGTGCCCCTATATTCTTGGTGTGCAACCAGGTGACCAAGAATCCCCTGAGAATAAAGACTGAAAAAAGCTATCGCCGCCATATTGGATGAACAAGAGAAACGAACTAGGAATGCTTTGTGATCTTCATCCAACATGGCGGTGATGACGTAACTTGCACGCCAAGAATAGGTTGGGAGTATATAAACTAAGAGATACTGCCTAGGGGCACCCTACCTCATACCCTCTTACACAAGGAACCCAAATAACGATCCCTTTTTGTCAAATTTCCTACTAAAATGACCCTGTTCTTTTAACTCACAGATGATGGCTGAAATAAAGGTGTCATGATCACCTTTGAGTTTCGTGTGGCGTAGCCTTCGCTACTTATCAGCGCTCTGCGGTCTCATTATGAAAATGAAAGTGCTCGAAAAAGGAAARTCGTATTTCCGACTTTTTGCCTCGGACGATTATGTGTTTTACCATAACATATAAATCAATATGATGTCTTCTCAGAGTACGCTAATGAAAGACAAATAGAGGACATTACATGGGCGCGCGGAGATACGGATTTTATATTCCAGTACTGAATAAAACATCTCTCACGAGTGAGCGTAGCGAGCGYAATGAGWGATTTTAACCACGAGAAGATAAAGTACTTTTTTTACTTCCAATATATATAGAAACCTCGAATGTAGTGAAAATAACAACTTTTCGAAAGACTAGAGAAATATATGTATTTCTTAGATATAATTATATAATAAAATTTGTTTTCACAGTTTCTTTCTTTTCTTTTTATATTTTTCTTTCTGTCTTTCTGTTGTATCTTTGTTTTCTCCAGTTTCTAAACTCATTCCATGTCATTTTTTAACTTTCTTGCCACCTGTTTTTGCGAATTTTCAATTCAATTCATTTTCCTCTTCCTTTAATTGCCTATCACTGCCACTCAGCATGGATCAAGTGAAACAAAGAATATCGTTTGCAATAAAACTACATGTGAACTGAAACTAAGAGAACCTGCTGAGTGCGGCTTTTCAGCGCCATTGCATGTTGCCCCTCGAAAAGGAGACGAAAGGAATAACATATAAAAACAAGAAATTAAWACAAATGAAAGAAAGGGATGAAAARTAATGAATTGGAAAAGAGAAGAAAAMATATTTTGCATAAGGATTAGAATACCGTTAGCGCGGCTGCGAACCTAAAGCACTGAGCTAGCATCGTTTGAGACATTAGCTTAACTGACAAACTCGGTATTTTGAAAGAACTACCGGCAGCACCCATAAAACCTTTAAGACGCTTCTATCTGCTATTTGTTTGCTCTTAGGCTAATGCAGAGTTGACTGGTGTCAAAAACTACTTATTGTTATTCAAAACTAAAATAATTAGCACCAAAAGAGAATAAAATATTGATAATAGCAACTGATTAGAGGTATTAACTCAGTTTTCTTTTAACACGTACAGTTTTGGTGGAGCAAACGAAAAAAAGCAGCCCACGACATTCTTTTCAGTCCGATTTAGAAGGACCTCAATTAGATTAGCGGTCTCTTGGGATTGTCAAAACAAAAGAAAACACGACAGCCACTTAAAGGTTCAATACTTTCTCGGCTTCCAGCTATTATCAGTAAAGGAAACATCGCGTTGTTTTGCGACTTTTTCGAAGGAATGACCGGTGTCATAACGGTATATTTGCAAACAGATTTTTAGGCCGTGTCAGAATATCTGACATTGACGTGGTTTAAAATTCTTGAGCTTTTGTCTCATTACGATTAAATAACCAAATGAACCAAGAGGTTTAGCTTTATTTTGCAGTGCTGTTATCAAACACGAGTGCTGTTAAAACATGGTGAAGAAAGCATTGAGCATATGTTTCAAAATAGAATGAATAGAGTATGTACGAGTAGACGACAGCTCATCAAGATTTGTTTGCATGCCAGCCGTTGTTTGTTTGCCACCTACAGATTTTTCTTCTATTGAACCTTAATCAAGACGGCTTTTCGTATTCAGAAACATAATTTTGAATTGAAGTCTTCGCGAATTGAAATGCCGCACATTTCGTCAATATGTTTCCCTTTGTTTCTTGACAATTTTCCTTATAATTTATCTTTTATTTCAATATCAATAAATACCTGTCTTAATTTCTTATCAAAGTAAATTTACAACGATTCTCTTAGTTTCGGCTTTTAACATTTTTGGTGCTTAATTTTCTTCATTCAATARTTCTTGTGGCGCGACGACACCTGTTATGTTCGACAACACCACACTCGGTCTTGCTTTTTTTAACGAYTGACCAAGGTCCCATGTTCTTCGTTGACCGCGTTTTGCGAAACCACTTCGACCTTTACAKCGAAKAAAATCCCACATACTCGACAAAATCTCCACATATCCYTCTCTAAATTTATCATTTCTGATAACAAAAATTATTGGATTGATTGCGGAATTGAAGAAACCACACCAGTAGGCGGCAACYCCTAGTCCCCGAGGTAGTTGTAGTACGTCTCTCCTAACGTTTGCTAAAGCTATGAGCATGACAAAGGGCATCCAGCATAAYAAGAATACTATAAGAACTAAGAGCAGAGTAAAGGTTATTCGTCTTTGTAGACGTATCACTTGTAATCCGCCTTTGGTATATTTTGCTATYCGACTAGCATGTTTTCTTACGGCAAGGAAAATCCTGACRAAAGCATAGCCCATAATGATCAATGGAGTTAGAAATGCGATTGTTACTATKAGTAATAAGTAAATGCGATCTGATAACCGTCTTGGGAAGCCGACACCACAGGCGAGGGTGCTGGAGTTATASGAGAAGAATCCCCAGCCAAAGACAGGTTGAATTGATACTAGTATACTGAAAGACCACACAAAGATGATCATCCCCCAGGCACGCTTGATGGTAATGGCTCGAGATAAAGGCTTTACCAACGCGTAATACTGTTCGATGCTCATTATAGTTAGGGTAAATATTGATATACAGAAGAACAGCGATCCCAAGAAACCATGGAGCTGACAGAACTCACTTCCGAAGACCCATTCTCTTGCAATACTGGTAACAAGACAAAATGGCATGGACAGTAAAGTGACCCCTAGATCACCGCAAGCCAAGTTAATGATAAACATGTACCTCGGGGTCTGCATGGAGTAGTTGAATGCAACTACAGTAATGTTCACCACGTTAGCAAGTATTGCCACCACCATGATAAGAACTAGAGACGTCGCTTGGACAATCGAYTCGTCTTTGCTGTAAACCACTAGTGTATGGTTTAGGTTTGCATCAGTCATAATCGTCAAAGCTGAAACTGAGCACAATGACTCAATTATTGGAAGTTTTTGCTAAGTGTTTTAAATATCCTTTAAAAGTCGATATATGTAATCAATCCCATTGGAATCGCTGTCTCTTCTTCTTGGAATATCACTGACTGTAATGTTATGGGATCAAATGAGTTCATGTCCGTATTTATCTACCATGCGATGTCCGTCTTGTGATGTCATATGTTATTACACTCACAAGGCGGTGTATGTCAAAGACACTCAAAGATACCTATCAAAAGATATCAGCACCACTCTCGACCTCGATTTCGTTTTACTGTCGACACGATTAAAACCTTGTACAATTTGTCTAATTGCGTTAATCCCACGATGAGGTCCAGCTTGAATAACAATTATAATGATCCAATATATTCCAGCCAATTAAACTGTCTCCATTGCCCACAATCCAACAAAAACGAGGCACCATACGATGTGTTTTGACAAGAACCGCATATGTCATTAAAATTTAAWTGTATGAATAGATGATAAAACGAAACAAAAACTTTCCCAAGCAAGTTGCCAAGTTACCAAAAGGCCATTTACACTCGAGCCTACAATGTAGCGTCAATTGCTTTTCAAATTGTGAAAAATATATCAGTGTTACAGTGAGGATACACAGGAAGACTTTGGCTGAAAACAAAAATATCGCTTTTAAACAACAACCCTCAACGATCTTTAAGCTACCCCAGGGACGTTCTTGTTCATTGAGATGGAATTTTATAAAGAAAAAAAAGCTTAGCAGGTGCAATGAATAATTCATAATTTGGCAGATGCTGGACTTGACTTCGGTCTTAATGTTTATTCAGGCAGGCGAAATCCCCTCTCAAGTGGCTAAAATGGGACATATTTACCCAATGCGATTGTAAATTTAGAGAATTTGATCAAATAATGCCATAGAGTCGGGTTTCTTTGAATATGACTAAAACGTATTTTAACCACAGAAAAAAAGAAAGGGAACCTTTTTATTATCAAATATTGGCGTAATTAGCAGCAAGCAGATAATTCGATTCTGAAGCGTACATCCGCTTGACAATAGTGTTGGGAATAAAGGCGATGTAAATAAGTACTAAGYCAAAGGTAGAAAATAATTCACACGTTTCATTGTGTRATTTCAYCAAATGCAACTCCTATGGCGGCATGSKGGGTTGACGACTTTATTTAAAAMAAATTAAACCGCCTTTGGGATGCAATTTCTTTAAGGTTGATCGTTGATCGTTTTAAGASAATGGGCGCCACAATCTTAACCGTTTAATGCAATATTTGATTGAAATGAAAAATTAAAAAAGTGGGAAGCATTGTCTTTTTTCACTACCCAAGTGCTACCCGAGAAGTATACTTTATACAATAATCTAAAAAGTAGTTTTAGTTGTACTAAATAAACGATAACCACATTGATATATCTTATTGACAGTGKTTGGTAGATTGTAACTTCACCAAAATTACATATTCAACACGGAACTATTAAACTAGAATCCCGGATTGGTTTATTTCACTGACCAATCAGAGAAGGCTACATTTCAGCCAATGCCCAGTCAAAGAAAAATCGGAAAACGATCACTGTACTACATTAGAGTAGTGTCCACAGTAGACACGAATCCCACAAATTCTATTTTCATATATCTACTGCATATCTACTGTAAACGTGACCTCTCTTAAACGTTCAACCCCTATTAAGCGGCCAACTGGTCTTTCCCCAAGGTGACCGGTTAATAGATAGACGTTCGACTTATAAGGAGATAGAGGTTCGAATTATACGCTAAAAAAAGCCATGGAAGGAAATGGATAACACGTGGAAGGGTATAGAGTCGAAATGAAAGGAAATGACAAGGGGAAATCAAACTAATGTACTTTCAGGAAATTGAACCAATTCTAGAATCAATCTTTTTTAATAAACTTATAATGGATTTTCTTTTGAACATACAATATCACTGAATGAAAACTGTTTCAAACATTTCGGTGTTTTGAGAATACTGTATACAATCCGTTGGTAAATTTAGGCAGCGAGAAGTGATAGACCTTTTTAAACCCCTTGATAAAGTGTTAAATTATCATATCGCTCTACTTGGATAATGCATGACATATATGGTTTGATAGAACTTATCACTTAGATGTTAGCCATCTTGAATTTAATATGAAGCAATCATGGCATGTCCAAGAGACGAAAACATGTAAAATATTGAATTGTCTTCAAAACGTCATACGGTGTGATATTTTTTTCATTTTATGCTGCATTATTGAACAGGGTTTTTTTCTACATTTTCATCACTAAATTCCAGGCCTTTTCAAGTACTTTTTAGGCTAAAAAAGCGATTTTCAAGGACTATTCAAGGAGTAGCACGAACCCTTATTGAAGCTTATGGTATTATTTCTTGTTGGGTAACCCACTGAGTCGATACTGGAAATAATAATAGAATCCAAGATGACGTTCTTATTGGCAATAGGGTTGTATATGAGTATTGTTTGCCTCGTCCCCAGGCTACTATCAGTCGTTTACGTTCGGCGTGACGTCGCTTTTCACTTGCCTCTTCCCGGAGTCACCTCTGCATCACGGGCGTCCGCCATCTTGGATCAGGATTCACTGAAAGGAGACTGGGGAGTAGGCCACAATAATGGTAAAATGTCAATAAATTCCTTTATCTACAGACGTATTACTGCTTCCACTCGCTGTAGCCAGTACAGCGTTCATACGTCGAATTTTACACGTGACGAATTCAAAGAGAACGAAACAAGGGAGCACAAAGAAATGATTTGAGTAATTTACAATTGAATCGAGARTGTTGGAATTCGGTTTATAAATTGGGTAATCGTGGAAAAACTAATGCAAGTAGACGAGAAAGCAGGAGCACTCAGCAACGTATTCAAATTGGTACAAATTAATCGTCAACAACTTAAGCAACACTAGTCATGAATGCACCGTTTGAAATGAGAGGCAGGGTTCTATAAAGACAYGTTCCACGCCACTGGATCTGGAAGAGGCTCTAAAGCTAGCACGGTAAAGGTTCTACTTTCAATCTGGTACCAAATTTTGATGTAATCCACATGATTGGTCATCACTGGACATTGAGAACCTCGYGTCAACGCTATCTTATCTGCAATCGTTGCCCTTCGCGGACAGTATGTGTCGAGTGTGTGTTCATCATAACAATAACAAAAAAAGTAAATCGCCAGATCAGATCGAGATAACCCTTTGTCATGAGCTGATTTCACCATTAAATAAGCTTATCTGTGCTTTAACAYCATTAGTTCGCCTCTGGTCATCRACTTTTTCTTCTCTTCCATTCATTTGAACGCCGTTTGAAGTGTCTTTTGATGATATTATAGTTTTTTTACGAGTTTTTAACTTCGTTTGAGCATCGTTTTGTGACTTCGGAAGACTATCCATGAATCCGGAATCGCGCGAGGCCTGCTCGCCGTCACTTCGATCAATAAACACATCATCGTCACCAACATCATCAATACCGACTCTGSTTCTCGAGTCCTTGCTACTTCCACTAACTGTCAATTGTTTGAGAGGACACGAAGCACTCCGTTCATTTATCCCATTTTTTTCAATTTCATTCTTTTTATTCCTTGTTCCCTTGGCGTCATTCTGCTTTAAAGGTTTACTAGTTTTTCGCGGGGCTATTGTGCCCACTTCAACTTTCTTCAAATCATCGTCTTCATCGATAACACCAAGTTGACATCGGACTGAGTTAAGAGTGCTCACCGGTGCCTCATTTCTCTCTTTCACGCCTGGGAAAGTGAATGCTCTTGGTTCTGGTTCAAATAGGTTAGGCATGCTAGATGCAAGTACTCGATTGCTGTTCGTTAATAATGGTACTCCAKATGTGACTAATACACCTTGGTAACCAAGTTTCATGCTTTCYTGAAGYTCATCRCTGTCRCATGATGTAGCTGASACRACGCTTTCTTCAAAGTAGTGGCTTATKCGACGAAGATAAAGATCCGTTCCCGCGCGAGGTCTTCTGCTATCCAAATCCGGCTTGACTACAAAAAGGATGACACTTGGTTATATTCTTAACCAAGCGTTACAATTGCAATCTTGGACATAAATAATTGACAATTTTTCGCTTGGGCATTACAGATACTGAAAATATTCCTGCATATATATTAGGTTTCCGCAATCCAATTATGTCTCTTAACGCCCTTAAATGTGGACTACAACCATCAATGTTTCGCCACACACAAAAAAATAACAAAGTGATTTGCAATACTTTGTTGTGACAAGACAACAAGACAACAACAACAACAACATTAACAACGAAGCACGACAAGAAATTAAAGGCCATATTGTGCATACAAGAGCCTTTCTCAAATAGGAGAATTTGCCATCTTTGATTATGAACCAATCAAAGCACCTTTCAACAAGAAATCCTTGCAAAACAAAAGAAACGATCGCAAAGACTCATGGATACTCGTGGACTTTTAAGGCGCGCGCGTATATTTGACATCTATGGCGGCATCTCTACGGTAGTACCGTGATGGCTACTAATTATATTACTCACAATGCTGTGCGAGACCCCTTCCAAAATTAGAGAACACTTTACAGGAGACACCAAGTATGGCGATTAGTAGAAGCAAGTTAAGAGTACCTGTAAGCAAAACAGTATTTATGTGTAAATACTACATTCAACAGACCTTGAGTAATTACATAAACTATGGTAATTACAATCAAATCGAGGGCGCTGTTTATCTTCGAGCGATCTTCTTGTTTGCTCTCGTTTTCGGATAAAACTCAAAAACGCCAAAACAAAACGCTAGAATATACATTACCCTAATAATTATTTTTGTGGACCAAACGCATAAAAAAGAACAAGTTGACTGCTCTAGAGTATTCTTAAAGGTTTCATAAAAGAATTTGCATTGACAAATAGAATTTACATCGTGATTCTCAAAAAACCGGCCGGAATGCGTAAGTAAATGTGATACTACTGAATACTATATAGGAACCAAACACAAATAAAAACAATCACAATAAAGAGGGGTTAAGTGAGATACAAATATCTTTTTCCTTTTTCAGGCACGTTCCGTGCATGATTGTTAGCAAGCCATAGTTGTGCTGTATAACTTATACTTGAAGTCGGTCTTTATAACACTTACCAAGATAAATAAAATGAAGCATGGCCTCGTCGTGAATGTCTTTTCCTGTTTTATGAAATTCCTGGCAACCATTACAACTATCAGTTAAGAACCTGAGCAAAAAGAACATACAATATCATCTATGTATTATTACACTCTCAGGTTTGCTTATTGGAGGTAGTCCTTTTACTTTCTTTAAATTTCAACATCTTGTGGTTATTAGCCTCCCTGTTCTCTATATTTATATATCGATTCCACTCGCCTAGTGGAACAGAAAAGCCTCTACGTAAGTTCATTGTGGTTGCGCCAAATTTCATTTTAATGAGTGCAAACACTAAAATCATAAAATTCGTTGGAACATAAGTCAGTGATAAATTGGACTTATTTATACACGGTCCTTTGTTTTCTATTGTCGAATCTACATTACCTTGCGCTATTCAGCACTATTTAGAGCGGATTTCGTATGAGTGGGACACCGTTACCGCACGGTTACCGCACAGTTACCGGACCTGGCCTGCACAATTTTGGTGAACCAATCCGGCACTAGAATTTGGTTACAGTACGATTACGGTCACAGTACAGTACCCTGTTTCCCACTCATACGAAATCCGCTCTAGTAAGTACTTTTTCACGCTCAAGTGTTTGCACTCTAGTTAAAATATGAGTTTAAAAATGCGTGAGGTTAAACCCTATTCACAATACTGTTCTTAATCTTATCTACCGTATTCAATTCTGCCGGAACGTCTTTTTCATTGAATAAATACTTTTAACTGGAAATCGCAAACGCAATTAATCAGTAGGACTTACCCGTACAACTTATAGAGAAAGTATCCTATTAAACCTAAAGTCCACAATATAAATATCGTCATCAACGTTTTGATTTCTCTTTGAGTCTAAAAAGAAGAAAAAGAAAGAAATTAAACAAACAAAAACAGACGCCCTTCCATCCTGACTAACCAAGATTTTATCACAGACAGCCCACTCGCTAGCTTAATTTCCATTATTTCATGTATATTTATCATATTTTATCAATTCATAAATATATTGATGAAAAAATGAAGACGATAAGAAAAAAACTACAAGCACGTGACAAAAAGCGCACGAACGTCAAAATTACGTCACGATCCCTCGCGGGATACAAACTAGTCTGCGAAATGACCGGATACTCACCGCGAAGTATCCCAAACATGCATATAATATCGAGGTTGGCACAAAAGCTAAGTTGATGTAGTACATGACAGACTGGTAATCCCTTAGAAGAACAAAACTGTTGCATATGGCGTACATCCACTGAAACGAAAGAAATTGAAAAAAATAAGCGACCAAGAAAGAAAGAAAGGGAGAACGAAATGATATCAAAACGAAAATTTTGGAAACAATTCTATGATCTCTGAAGAATCAAGCAGAGGCCATGTAACAAGCAGACAGACAGACAAACAGAAAGACAGAAGTGAAGAGTAGAGAGTCCGACCAACTATGATAAAGATGGAGATGGAGACCGAAATGAAGAGACGAAAACAAAAAAAAAGTGATGCCAGTATTACCCAATACATGATGGCCATCTTGAGAAGACATGATAGAAGCTGGTAGAAATGATATATTGCTGAAAGAAAATTCAATACAAGTTGTAAAATACCTTGGATCAAAAGTGATCAACGTAGGATTTTACTGCATTTATCTTTTGGACACAAACTATTGTATTTTACCGTGAGTGACGATTTTTTTTTGTAGTGAAACATCGGATTGGTACGGACAAACTACAGTACGTGTTATAAGGCATAGTGGTTCTCTGGCATCACGTAAATGAACCACAAAAAGATTACTTACATCTTAGTGACAGGTTGAAACGAACTCTTTTGTAAATTTTCCAACCAAATTCAGTGTACAGCTTCCAGGACAAGAATATAAATACTCCATTGAGAATAAACAGCGTCAAAGACTGCATAAATCAAAATGATATATATTATTTATAATTTATCAATCATATATTCATAATAAAACAATATTGCTGATTTAGGAACAACAACAAATTTCTCTTTTTATTTCCAGTTAATCTCTTTTAAATACAGACCATAAAGTGTGGTTCAGATTAGGGCCAGAGATGAGAGCAACACACACACAAAGAATTAATGTTACATTACCATGCATTACTTACATTTGATAGTGCAATGTTACGCAACAGTGGATTGTGCTCCATGGTGACATTACCCTCCCTTAATGGCAGTTTCTTGTATCCCACATGATAAACTAACATCAAAATTTGAATATCAACACTCAAATAAAGAAAAATTAATAATTATAATAACTAGCATACCATACTAAACAAGAGAAACAATAATCCTGAATGATCATTACATCATGTAATGGTGATCCTCAATCAGCAGTGTCRGGTTGTGTAAAGCTCAATTAGTRCTAATTATCCCAGTTTAACTTTTAAAAAACCTTAGCACTGGATTAACACTAATCAAGCCTTGAACAACCCAGACTAGCCTGCGTAGCGGCCCTAAGGGGATTGGGGAGGGCCGGCCGAGCGGGGAGTGGGGAGGAAAATACGCAGGCTAACCCAGACCAGTGCATCTGTTTCCAGCAGTTTTATAAATGTCTGTTATCAAAAGWGTGGATTTTCTGGAAATCACTGTGCTCACCGAGCAGCCTGCTTCCCTTTMGTTTCCCCCCTTCACCCCATCCCCTAGAACTGTTATGCAAGCTAAGCAATGTTTTGTCACKTGATAATAATATTTTCTTCTCATKCCAATRAAWTGAAATGAYTTGCTAATACACTAACCTTGTATTAATCCATACGCAACAAAGCCAAAATTTTGTAATAGAAACGCTAGTATTTCCAAGAAATTTTGCTTTTTTACCTAAGAATATTGCAATTATTGTTATTACACTTGTTTCCATAGTTATGATAGATTAAGAATTATAAAAAATGTGATGAAATGAAATGAAAGACTGTACTACTGTAGGAATCTATTTCATATCTTTGTTTAATTAATTAAAATGAACATCGTCTTACTGCAAATAAACACAGGAAACAGGTGTAAACAATGACTCCCATGTAAACAAACATGTATATCCTACGACCAGGACCCATTCCAGGATTCTAGATTTAAGAAAATAACAGCATTTTATACAATGCAGTCTATCACTTGATCCATTAAAGTATCAAGTGATAAACCAAACTGCAAAAGTCAATCAATCAATCTTCTACTACATCATTCAGTCAGTCAATCAATTAATCAACCCTCCACTCCATCAATCAGTAAATCATCCACTCCATCAGTCAATCAATCAACTACCCAATTAATTATTCATTTATTCAATCAATAAACTTATAA